AACTGTCACAGCTCACAATGGGTCTCCTCTGAGACTCTTCTTAGTTTTTCCATTGTGTAAGACAAACACTGGCTCAGATTACCAGTTTCCTCCCTGGTTGTCCCTGGCTCGAGGGCTTCTTAGACACGTGCTGAAGCCTAACATTGTCCTTCCTTGTCGATGGGCCCACCAAAATAGTCAAGCGCGTAGGTGCCGTACTACATGCGTGAAGCTAGCCTCCACGCCTGAAACCACAAGACATTCATCCACACAGGTATTCACTGGGAAAATGGACATCACGTCTGGCGCTACCCAGAGCTAACAGCGGGGAATTGCGAGGATCACCATTGTGCGGGTATTCGGATGTTTTGCGGTGCAGTTTCCCGATGGCGCCACATTCCGTCTCCAGAACACGCATGAATCATGTCGTAGATGAGTGACAACAAACTACTGGTGGCAGGAAGATACTAGTAACAGCAAATTCCATTATAATTTCATCGCCGTCACAAAAAAGGGTAGTTACACAATCATAAGTCATGTCCCGTGCTCTCAATGAAGTATGCCACCATCTACATAGTTCTCCGTGTTGTGATTGTGGTGTTCGACCTAACTCTTTCTGTGTTCAATTGCATGCAACCCACCTGATTGGCAACGACACTGTGGATGTTTGCGAAATCTCAAGTTTATCCGTTTTTTTCTTATCACTATCCGCTACCTTACTTGGACACAAGAAACGTTCCGGAGACGTTCTGGGTCACACCATCGTGCCACGCGCATCTGCTTGGATAGGCCGACGTAGACGGCTCCCCGACGGGATTCTCTCTGGAGCCCATCTGGCAACACTATCGAGTAAGAAAGGGATTTTGTCCCGGCTAAGGGGCATTCCTGATGATGAATCGACCATTCAAGTGAAAGGTGGCATGGATAATTTGATATTCTCGATGGTATCTCTGTTGTTGTCTGCGAGTCAAACCTTAAAGTACTCACAGCTGCCTGATAAATTAAGTCGATGACTCGTCGATCAGCCATGCACGACCATCCCATTACTCGATTTAGCTGCATCGCGGTTTCACCTTGAAACATCTCAGAGAGGCGGGCATTCCGCAGTCAGCACAGGGACGTTTGGGTGCATTCAGGCCAACACAGCAACAGAGACAATATCCATTGTATTGACCCACAGATGTGTACATACAAACAAGGTCAGGATTGGACAGCGTCATCACATCAACACCAGTCATACGCGGCGCCTTCTTTCTTTCCATTACCCCTGCTTGTGCTCCTAAGCAACTTATTCACTGGCGGACACGTTACCGACTCGTTCGCCTTTTCTGCGTGGTGTACAATGCTGTGTACAGATGGGAACACGAGGAAGATATTTGCGTTCGCACAAGCAGCAGGTGTCGATATAAGAGTCGCTGCTTTCGTGGGCACAGTCTCAACTCGATGCTGTGATCATTGTGCATTACAGTGTAAATGTCATTCACCCACACGTGAACCAAGTACGTCGCATTGTACCGTTAAGGATTCTTTCGGAGATGTTAGCAGGACACCTCAATGCGAGCGACGAGAGCTATGTGGGACCGTGGATATGCCGAACGAAGCCAACTTGCCCAATCGATCAGACCCATCGTATCTACTGCGCTCACACAGAAGGATTGATGGAGCCCTAGAATAGCATAATATACCATTCACAATCCTAGCTGATATGGCGCCATTGCAAGACAACAGACTCCATCTTGAGAACCTGTCTGAAAACTGCCGAACCTGGCCACGCAGAACACCACGTGTTTGCCCATTACTCTCCCAGGGATTGATGAAAGGCGATGCCCCGCACTTCGCCCTGTTAGATCGCCTAAGATGAGCATCGCAACCCACGCCGCCTTTCAAATCTTCTGAAACCGTCCAGATCCCCACGTCCTAGATAGATACCTCCATGTTGACGTTGCACGCTGTATAGCTCACAATACACATGCAGAATATAACTCGGTACATTGCAGCGTTTGTGCCTCGGAGATGTCTTCCCGCACACGCTGAGGCAGATTCTCGCCAGGATACAATCTCCTCACCAGCCAGGGTGAACTGTTATTTCATTATGGCTAGCTGCATGTATGAGGGATGGAAGTTACAACTGTTCGGTGAATCGGACCTGAACGCCTTTATCCGACGTTATTGATGGTGGGGCAACAGCCAATTGTTTTTTCCTATCTCTCTACACAAATTTGCTGACAACTGAAATCCGGCCTTAGTGTTCATTCCCGGCAAACCGCAGTACTAGACCAGAATTTTCCTCGGTCGTGCACTGGAAATTAGCCGGATTTCAGTCATCGACAATTGTATTTGCACTGCAGCAAAGTCAGGTTCATATATTGACTTTTGCTATAGATTTGTGGAAGGGGGAAACGGTGACCCAAGGAAAGGAGAATTGTCAAAGATCGACCTGAGCCTTACACGTCTATTTTCTGGCTTACATTACTGTGAATTTGCTGTCCACAGGTGTCTTGCATGCCGGTTTTTAATCGGGGACCACAATGTTGCATGGGCCACGCGTACTCATCCGGCGGATATGTGTGAAGTGAATGAAAGAAGGTCCCTGGTTCGAGTCCTGGTGGTGACAGGCAATGTTTTTTTCCAGACTTTCCCCGTATGCATCTTTACCTCAAACCAATAATAATATTTGCAGTTGATTACAGGAGAGAGAGAGAGAGAGAGAGAGAGAGAGTTACAGAGCGAGAGAAAGAGAGAGAGGGAGGGAGGGAGAGATATAGAGAGACTTGTTTACATTTGATTTATCAGTTTAGCCTTGTGACTCGCACATTAGCCTCATTAGGCTTATCTTGGTGTGGACACTGCACGCTGTTTGGCCCACAATACAATAAACAATACCTTAAGGCTTTGGCGTAGTGTCGTCATGAGTGAGGTTCGTTGGAGGTTAAATGTTCTACGACTGAGGGACAATACATGTAACAGTCATAGCTTTACACGGTCAGTGATCGATTCAGGAATGAAGATCTGCCCCAGTGCCAGACTCAGAGAATATGGCGCATGCGTAATCTTACACGACATGGACGCAATGTATGGACGTCGCATTCATGATAACTGTATCATTGATGAGTAACAAATATTGTTTGATTAATTTTTGAGGAACACTCATTCATCAATGTTTACAAGCATGCACACCACGTCGCGGCTCTTAACATGTAGTGCACATGCTCCATCCAGGAGCGGGATCCCGCCTTGCGAGCCGGGATCCAGATTCCTACAAACTAGTCTTTGGTTGCATACAGCTGTACATACATGTACACTACCTTTTTACTTTTAATATTAAGGTCCCCAGCTAGCTATAAAAATAAGAATGAAGAAAGACGCTGAAACTTGCACTGAGACTAGGACAAACGAGCCAACTACCGGCATGAATGCTGCACCGATAATTATTATGCAGCAGTCACTGAGAGATGCCGATGGTGGGGCGTTGAGGGCTCTGTAGACCTGACCTCTTGGGACAAAATGCGAACCAAAACAATTAATGACATCCACTTGTACTTCAGTACACATACATTGCTAATGACTTACAATGTTTGTACATTAGCATGTACATGTACATGTACAGCTTCGTTGTTGTGGCACTGCCTTAGCCTACACTACAATTACCCTATATAACTAGCGAATGGCATCATTATGTTTTATCGTCCGATGAGTGTTTATGAACACGAAGCTCCGAGTTACGAGAAAGATGTTTGGTCTCTGTTGTTCTGCCTTTGTGTAGTACGCTCTGCCCATTTTGAGGTGTTGATCACTATTTGCAGCAAGGACCCCAGACACTTTGTCTACATGTACATGCACCACTTACTGTACATGTTACAGCAGTTTCACTGCATCGCATGTGCAGCCTCGAATAGTGACCCAATCCACACATGGTTTTACTGATCCTATAAACCCATAATTATCGTCTTCGATGACTCGATAACACTGTCCTGTTATCGCCTCTATGCTCACCTATATCCGATAATTAACTCTCACAAAACAAATCAATACCACTGTCCCAATGCCACGTCATCACATCGCACATAATCATGCACTAACATCCACACTAGCATCAAATATCTAGGCCTGCTCGTAGAGAATGCGATAGTGAATGCTGCTGTCTGATAATCGCTCCGATGCGTGAAACTTTAAGTTACAGCTAACACAGCCTTTCGCCTCTGTTGTGTGGGTAAACCCATAATTATACGCCCAGTGTGGGAAGTGGATGACATTGTGTTCTTACTCGTTCTTTAATCTTGTACCATACAAATATACTTGTACGTTTGTACTTGACATTCCAAGAGTGCAAGAACTCAGCAGAATACGCCATGGGGTGTTTTGTACACGAGCCACTTGAAACTGGCCTTAGCGCTAGGCACAAGAATGTGAAAAACGTGTGTTCATCCAGGCCGATAATTATTTGTTTCCGACTGGTGCAAATTTATAATAAAGTTGTGTCTGCCAATCACTTTGTCGACACCAGTTTTAGGAGCTGGCTTTGAAAGGCCAGAATCATCACCGGCTGCAGTGACTTTGGAGAACACGTGTGCCCAGATCAGGCATTTTTCGTCACCTGTCTCACTCAGAGGAGACCGCATGTACTGACTGCAATCATGTAAGATGCGATGTCTGATGTCACGCAGCCCCAGTTTGTCCCATTTACATGTATCTGCACCATGTACGTATTGTATGCGTCAACTACTGGTACAATCATGTACATGTACATGTACTTAGTCGGCAAGTACGAGTACAATCTACTGGTAGTAGTGCAAGCTAGTGACGGACTCTCATGCTTCTTACGTCAATTTTCGTCATTCCAAAACAAGGGCAATCCCTACTGTCAGTACTGACTGATGTGGTGCACTTGTTTGCTTATTGCTAAACGAGCGTCTAAGGGATGTCCAAACGTGCAGACAGCTACTTTTCAAGTTTGGTGGACAGGACAGAGAGGCGTCCTCTCACAGACATCGACGATGAGTTAGCTTTAACCCGCTTTAGACTACTGATTGTTCGGATTCCGTAAGCAATAAAGATGAACATTCCTTTAGAAGAAGAATTCGATATTCCACGAATAGTGTAATGAATACGAAATGCAACTGTTCAGGACTATCAGTGACCATAGGCAAAGCCATAATAATTATAAAGACGACGAAATGTACATGTAGTTCGAGACGCAAAGTTACACACAATGTCCATGTATACTGTAACATGTACATGTACATGTACATGTACATGTATTTAATTTCTTTTGGAGAAAGAAAGGAAAATTAATCTCAACGGAATAGTAAAACGGACTCGGATGGAGAGCCAAGGATAAATAAAATACATGTAGAAAAGAAAGGAACAATGAAGTACGAGTCACTGAATACATGTAGAAGAAATCAAGCATGAAATTGAAGGAGATATCATTTGAGGTTTCACAATTCCACAAAGTCGGTCTCAGTACTGGAGCTGGATTGCCACGTCCTTCACAGCACAAAATATTTTACTGAATTGAAGATCTTGTCCAGGCTCGCGTTATCTTTACATCATCGAGCTGGATGGGGAGCCGTCTGGTGTCGTGGAGGTCGGAGATCCGCAGGGTTCAGGCTTCTTGCGGCGCTTGTTGCAGAACCAGTTGTCCAGCTGATGTCGCTCCATGCCCACCTAACCAAAGACACGGAGAGTGCAGATAACAAGACCAGGTCATCGCTTGATTAACCCTGTGTGTGGATGAATCGCCACAGAAGGGCGTGAGAGACATGTCCCCCGTATGGGTACTCAGCAAATGAAGCATTCAAAACGTATACTCGTGAAGTTCCTACCCAACGAAAAGGGAATATCACAATTGTAAGTGATACTTCACTAGTTTGAGGGAAAGAGACAAACGGGTAAAGTGATACGTTCACAGATTGAGTAAGTGATACGTTCATAAACATCTGCAATGTTGATGAAACCGTGTTACACACCGATGGCATATACTGGCACTTAGAACACTTGCGCAGACTTGACCCACTTCACTATTAGTGCTATGATCATGCTGCTTGCTGAAGCGCAGATCATCAACATGCAAACACTGCTTCTTGGACCTGAGAGTAAGATATTCGCAACCACTTGTCTTGTTTGGCTATCCTAGTGCCATTTGGTATTTGGATGCAGTGCGAAGTGTACATACAGACTGTATGGCGCAGGATCTGAGCACCTTCAACATCGTCATGAGATGGAAATGCACACAAACGTACATGTACATGACTGTATTCATTTGTAGTTAACTATTATGTCATGTACATGACCCACATGCGTTGTTCTTACCATTCTGAGCAGGTCCTTTTTCTGTGGCGCAGTCGGATATGGGCACTGCTTGAAGAACGCAGTGAGAATCGTGGTGCACTGGGGACACACGAAATGGTACCTTGTGGGATTGACAGTTGGGCGTCTGTAGATGAACAGAAGAAATCAGACCAAGGATGGTTACTCTACAGGGAATGAACTACAAACGTGAACGCAGGTTTAGGGCCTACAACATGTATCCATCTGTGAGTTTGTTCCAAGCAATAAGACTCAGTAGCGACTTTGCCGTCTACTATAGTCATCTCATCGAGCAGTCTGGCTGGGATCCCTTGCTGTTCAAATGAGAGTTCCTTACATCTTACTTGCATTTAAAGTTTAGAGACTTGCTACTTCCCGAATAGCCCGAGCGGATATTGTGCCATTCGAGCCATATTTGGATGCAAAAATGTCAAAATTAATTCATGCATGAGCAACATTTCTATTATCAGTTAATTAATCAACCGTTGCCGTTGGAGGAAATTGAGATATTTTCGGGTCAATACTGACTACGTAAAACCGCAGTGAAGTCACTGAAAGCCTACAGAGAATAGCAGGCATGGCCTCTACTTACTTTCGCTGCGTGTGAAATATACCATGGAGTCGGCATCGGCTAGCATTCCCACCATCATCCAGGGAACCAATAGAGCAATGCACGGGTGGCAAAGCTCTCCTGGCCGCCTGCGGAGACCAAGTTGGAAACACACCGGATCTGAATGCGTCTGTACCGATACCATCCGACATGGCTGGCCTAAATGGCATTTGCTCCAGAGTTCTTGATAGGAACTGGCTTCGATGCATGCCAGGGCTTTCGTATTCCTGTCCTAGGCTGTGACCCGCGGTAGCCGTCGTACTGGAGGCTAAGGTCATCCGTGAAGCGAACAGTGTTGACATAATGTTATCTCCTTCGGAGATGAGTCCGTTAGGTGCATGAGCTGTCAGGTTGTGTGGCTGTTGGCTGAGATCTTGCGGAAATGGTGGAAATCTAGCTGATCCAGGGGTCTGCGCAAGGGTGTCCAATCCCCCATAGACGGGAAGGCCTTCCACTGGCAGACTCCCACACGTAGTACTACTACTCATGTCAGAGTTCAAAGTCGACGACGTTTTACTTGATGCTCCATCCAATCTCGCTCCCGTGGTGACGAAGCCTGAGAATAGTACATCGGAACCTGCCACGGGACACTGAATCTGTGGGCTAGGTGCGAAGCAGGGAATCACAGGATTGGCATCGGGGCTGCCAAATGCTGTGTTTGAATCCGCTGCCTCACCAAGTCCACACGGCTGCTGGATAAGTAACGCAGGCGTGCCCTGGATAGGGGGTGAATTTGTTGGCAAATGTGCCTTTATAGTATAGGCCATTTCTTACAGCAAGAGTCTACTAGGTATTTGATGTCTATGAAGCTATTGCTTTGGTTAAGTGCCAGAACAACACGCTGCTCAGAACATAAATCCGTCTCTTTCCCCTCTCACCTGAGGTTTCACTTGAACAACAAGATAGAGTTGGAAATATGGCACGAGATATGGTAGCTCACCGCATTATATTGCACGCGGAGAGACAGCACGGCGCCAAATGCTTTCGCCACGATGCGTGCAGCTGATACGATTTTCACTTCGGCTGTGCAATTTCTCAGCGTTTGATGAGCATAACCGAGTTTTGAAAAGCGTCCCAAGTGCCACGACTCGATGCAACAATACAGGGATACCCAGGGTCAGAAAATACACCACGCCTCACGTGCGCTGAACTTCGGTCGAACATCGCAGCACTTGGATTTGGAACGACGCGTACCATGCATGGTACCTTCGCGTATACCTTCGTGCCATGTCAAAGTCACATTCATTTCAGCAGTGGTCCGACGCGGACGTGTCAAACTGGTAATCCCCATATCTAGACGCGAGGAAGCTTCCAACACCCAAAACTCACTGGACCGGAGTTTTTGCATTCATTGCCATACTCTACAGCCTATCGAGTATCGTGCCTCGAGCTGTGGTAGTGTGGGCGATTGTGTTCAGGGCCCAGCCGTTAGCACTTTCTCTCAAGATGCGCGAGTGCTGCTAACCTGTGGCTGCCAAGACTTGCCCGTGGACAGAGGTAGGCTCACCGCCTCAGCGTTCCTGCACAACTGCAGCCACTGACTGTACTGTAGTCGTAACAACCAGTCTACGACGAACACACGCACACCACACGGACACACGCACACCACACGTACATGTACTCAAAATGAAGGCATGAGCGTGCATTCGCGCTGACAGTACTCGTACCGACGTGTCAGACTCACTGCAACATTGACGACTAAAGCAGCATCTGTCTGTTGTTATTGATTGGTGACCTGTCAAGGGGAACCACAACTTCACAAGGGTTGTCCAACTAGACTCTAGTACTACCATCGCCTACTGAACTAGGCATCAGCAGCATCCCAGTGGGAATGCAGTGAGCTCATCCAAAACATTCTCTTGGGATACTAGCAAGAAGCATTTTGATTTTTGTGATTTTAATAAAAAATCAAAATGCTAATGCTTTTTCCAAAAAGTATACAACACAGCAACATTGTACATGTACATGTACATGGAGATGGAGATAGAGTACATTCTATCATTCTTCTCTAGTGATCTATTGCGGATCTCCTGGTCGTTGAATGCGTCTCACCGGACATGTGTTCCTACCCGTGCCTGTACATGTACATGTACATGTACAGCGATGATTCATTAATCATCGCTGGCTACTTGAAAATTTAATGTTCTTGAGTCGCTGCATTTTTCTTCCACTCTTTCCCTTTGTCTTCTTTCTGATCAGACTCTGCCCTACTGAAGTTAGCACTGTGAGCTGCGCACTCAACTAGAGTTTCTCACCTCAATTCAAGGTTCATCCGTTCATGCCTGCATCATTGATTTTTAAAAGCATGCCCTGTTTGTGTCACCACTAAAATCTTGATGCTTGAATTGCCGGTTGGGCTAATCGGCCTCGAGCCGGGTTATGTTTGAGAATCTTACTTGTGCCCAGATGAGGTACATGTACTAGGTATGCTTGTGCGATTCTGATTAGAACCTATGCCATCCACAATCATGAACATAGTGGGTTATTAGCGCTCTCATTGTTCAGCAATCGGTGTCGGAATGTGATTGTGAATGAGGGACTCCAACTATTATTACAGCATATCTATTCCATACATGAATACACTAACTGTGAGTATGACAAAATGGATAAAACGGAAATACTGCGGGAATAGTCCCCACATGCATCGAGCTACTAGTACTAGTATCGTACAACTCTTCATTCAACAAACGCCTCAACGTCGCGTGTACGTGCGACTGTACACAGAAAACACCGTTACCGGTGACAAGCCGTCATTGTGTCTTTCACCCACGCACACGAGTGAGCCTCTTGTATGTTTACAGTTGGGGGGCGCGAGCGAAATTGAGATGAAGCGGACCTGAAGCATGATTTCGTGGGTGGACACGACTACACGACGCCTGGCCTGCAGCAACCACACTATGTTTGACGCTGCTGCATCTGCCTGCCACTGTATTGCCAAAGCAGTACTCAAACTTAGAGGCATGACTCATCTTTGAAGTACTGTATCTATTACTTTGTTTAGTTACTCAGTTTGAATGACCTGAATGAGGGCCGCAAGTCACCGGGGATAACTGTGGAAACTTCAGTTGTATTGTTACTGGATCTTGATTGACCTTGGTTTAGCCAGCTTGGTATATTGCCACTAACTAGGTCATAATAATGCGTGTTGTCACAGAGCAGCACTTAGTGGCCATTGTCAAATTCCACTTCACAGTCCCACATTCGGGCACTGAATACTCATGTACAGGCGCGTGTACACACAAAATGAAATTAAAGATTACTAGTAGGGCTAGATCATAGACTGGAATGTGATGTCCATTTCGATCATTCGAAGCAGGGGAGGGCAGGGAAATGAAGGATTAACTCAAATTGTAAGGTTCTTCTTGGAACATGTACAATTATAATACAAGACACACACCATGTACACGCACACACACACATGCACGCACCCACACACATACACACACATCCGCGCACACACACACATACACACACATGCACACACGCACACTACAGCCCCCCCCCCCACACACACACACATACACACACACACACACACACATGCGCGCACACACACATACACACACATGCACACACACACACTACACCCCCCCCCCCACACACACACATACACACACACACACACACACACACACACACACACACACACATGTACATGTACATGTATGTCATGTGCATGTTCATTATATTGGACTATCAGTTGTCTGACAACTTGTGTCGGAGGACTTTCCTCTACCTACTACTTCGAAGTAACTCAAAGTTACGACCAAGCTGAACGTCCTCCGCTGAGTCTGCTATGTACATGTACATGTACATGTACATTGGACTGCAAATGCATCATTACTTTCGAACTGCATTGACATTGTGACGCATTGTTTGGCTGGCACTGACACTTTCCACCTTCGACGGGGTCAGCTAGCAGTGTACACTTGCCTAAGGATGATGATTGAGATACCTCTGCACTGGCTATGATTTTTTTAAAGCCTCTCGCAATATTTCACCTGGGAAAGCACAGAAATAGCAGCTGAAGTGCTCCCTCGAACTTAGAAGTGTTGCAAAGCGTGGTACGCTTGTAACAAGCACTTCCTATCCAGAAGAACGTTCACTAGCGTTACCATGGTTACAGAAGGTGTCCATAAGCTCAATTCAGTAACTACATTGTATAAACTCAATTGTTAAAAACTCGGATGTTGTGCCAATAGTAATATGTAAAGAGAAAGGTCATAGTCATATCTAGTAACTTATACTCTAGGTACTGTAGGTTAGGCCTTTGTGGATAATGCCGGCAGAATTCGGTACTTTTTCTGGTACGTTTCATGCAGGTTTGGTATGTGGATAAAGAAATGGAGCAGAATTCGAGGAATTGCCCGCCATAAGTTTTGTATGGTTCTGCCAATGTCACTACTCTTCGAGCAGAATCTGCCACCTTTTCGAGCATTATCCGCCAATGCCTACTGAGTGTAGGTCCTTAACTCGCTTGTTGACTGTTAATAATGGGATGCTACAGGCGGACATGATTGGAACAAAAGCCGAGTAGTTATTTGTTACCACAGCGCCAAGGAGTAGAGACAGCGGCTGTAATTTACTTAGATGAATTCACAGTCAGTTCCGCGAATAACGGCCTTCGTTCGAGAATGAGACAAGTGTTGGTGTTCGCGGGCAATCTTTATAAATAAAATAGATTTTCGTCTGCGTTCCCAAGGAAACTCACGAAGGCCACACATAGCCCTATAGCCCAGCACCATACCGGGCAAGTCAAAGAATGAGAATACGATGTGTACATGTATGTAGCTTACTATGGGTACGTGTACAAACTCGGCCCCTCTTTGACAAATAATGTGGAAGACACCGCCTTGAGGGGCGGGCATTTGTGGCTGATCTGCAGAAATATGTGCCGGAATCCTGATATGGACATGGGTGGAGATATCTTGCCATCTTAGAGTGATCAATTGCAGCTGCCGAAGAATTTTTATAAAGTGTGATGCCACCTTTAACCAGATGATGAGGTTACCAATTCCGAACCTATCGGACGTCTTTAAAGGCGTTGTCCCAGCCCATCTGGATGCTGCACAATATTGTAAAGTAGCCTGAGTGTGCGAATGTACATGTACATGTACACCAATAATTTCAAGGTGTACGTGTCTATACCTGCAAAGCAGCCAAGAAATTGATGCACCCTACTTGTTTTGATGGCAGCGACGTGATCCTGAAAAGCATGGCAGTAGGCAGGGCTTCTTCGTGTTGCTATACATTTCAGCATCGCTGGCGACAAGAGAGGGTCCCTGGTTCGAGTCCTGGTGGTGACAGTCAATTTTTTCTCGTTTGTGTCTTTCCCTCAAACTAGTGAGGATTTCTACATGTATATTATGTACATGTATACAAGGCAGGTCTGAATCTCACCACACATCTCCCTGCTCGCTTGAACCCAGTCTTCTTTTTCTGTTGTGAAAGCGCTCTCGGCACGATCAAGACATGTAATGACCGCTCCAATTTCAATGGGTGAATTTTCGATCTCGCACAGAAGGCACAAAAACGTGTTGCTATGTACATGTAGGAGCGACCTTAGTTCGTGCAAAGTCACAGAGTGCTGTCAGTTAGGGGGGTAACCGGGAGACCTCATTAGCTGATATTGACGCCTGCCGCGGACAATCCGACAATACGTACAAGTGGACAGAAATATCAACATTGGCAACAATACAACCATGTAGTGATGTACTGTACATGTACAGAGTCTGGGCGATAGGCATCAAAACACATTTCAAACCAGGGTCTGGGCGATAGGCATCAAAGCACGTTTCAAACCTTGGCTTTGGCAGTTTTGGCATACTACACGTCACGCACGTGCGACCTGCCGAATCGTGCCCATGAATGACTTGCATGTCCTGCCACTTCACTTGGTTGCTTGCATCTGCCATGATCTGGTGCTTGCAGCGGTGGCGAGTCTCTGGAGAGCCTCTGGATTTCCTCCTC